ATAGCACAGGACAGAAAAACTAACTTGAGTTTTAAACACAATAGCAGAGGACAGAAAAGCTATTCCAAGTTGTGAAAACAATAACAAAGAACAGAAAAACTATTTCAAATTTTGAAAACAATAATGGAGGACAGAAAAACTATTTCAAGTTGCAAAGACAATAAAAGAGGATGGAAAAACTATTTCAAGTTGAAAAAAGGATAACAGAGATTGGAATGACTATTTTGAGTTGCAAAAAGGATGACAAGACAGAAAGAACATTTCACATCATCTTTCAAATGGAATCATTCTGTCTTCTGCACTGTAAACATCATTCAGCTGCCCCAAGTGGCAAGGGGGAAATGATTAGGGGTATGGTTTTTCATATAAAGCTCTATCACTTCACACCTGAGTAATAAGACCCACACTACATATGTACAGCAGGATAAGTGAATATTTTCCTATCTTGTACAAGTGCATCCCGAAAAGATACAACACATTTACTCCGCCCGCCTCAACTAATGTGTCAAATTTTTTCTGCATGCACTTGTACATACAGGTCTGCTCAGTTATCTGCTCATCTGAATAAATGGATCACATGTGATACATTATGTAACTTTTTTGACCTGACAAAATTGTCCCAAAGAGTCACTACATATATCTTCATAGCTACTCAGGCAATATTCTCAAAGCCATTTGTCAGTAACAGAAAGGGTGTTACATGAAGTTTGGTTGATAAAATTACACCAAAACTTTGAGTCAGTGTATGTAGTTGATTTTTGGAATGCTTTTGTTTAGCAGAAAAGGGTTACAGCATGTATTACATATCATTCATGTATTCAGATGAGCAGAAAACTGAGCAGACCTGTATGTACAAGATAGCCACTCATTCACTTAGCCTACTTCCCATTTGTAGTGTGGGTGTTATGGCTCAGGTGTGCAGTGATAGATCCTTTTATGCCAAACCATACTCCCGATCATATCCCCCTTCCCAATTGGGGAAGTTGAATGATGTTCACAGTGCCTGTTATCCTTTTGGCAACTTGAAATAGTTTTTCCATCCTCCATTATTGTTACTTCAAATATGTCCTGCATTATTGTTTTTGAAACTCAACATAGTTTCCGTGTACATACTCCAATATCCTTTTCACAACTTGAAATATTTTCTCTTTTATCATTTTCACCACTCAAAATGGTTTTTCTGTGCTCCAATATCCCTTTTGCAGCTAGTTTTTTCATTGTCCATCATTTTTTTTGCAACTCAAAATACTTTTTCCATCCTCCAATATCCTTTTCCCACATTGAAATAGTTTTTCCGTCCTTTGTTATTGTTTTTAACCCCTCACAATAGTTTTTCCATCCTCCATTATTGTGTTTGGAACTCAGTGTAGTTTTTCTGTCCTCCGATATTCTTTTTGCAACTCAAGACAGTTTTTCCATCCTCCATTATTGTGTTCGGAACTCAGTGTAGTTTTTCTGTCCTCCGATATTCTTTTTGCAACTCAAGACAGTTTTTCCATCCTCCATTATTGTGTTTGGAACTCAGTGTAGTTTTTCTGTCCTCCGATATTCTTTTTGCAACTCAAGACAGTTTTTCCATCCTTCAATATACTTTCCGTGAATCAAATTAATTGTCGGTGCCACCTACATGGCCTTTTTTGAAGCGTGGAATGTAGGTGCAATACCCAAGTGCCTACATCATGTAGGTGTAACAAAATTGCACCTACAATTACATTTTCAAATGCAGGTGCTATTTTTTAATGCCGACATGGTTATTTCAAAATGTAGGCTTCTTTTTGAAGGATCCCAGCGCCTAAATCCTGAACATAGGCATTTTTTGTGGGAAACACCCATGTAGGTGCTTCTCTAGCTGCACTTACTTGGTATTTCTGCGGGCTGCAAATAACAACAGCCTAAAACAATACAAAGCCATCATAAGACCATGGGTAGAAATGATCAATAACCCTTAGGAGCACTGATCAATTTTGAAGGATTAGAAAACATGAACCACCTGATCCACCCAAGAATTGAGTCCAAGATGGAATACTAATAGTTCAAATATGAGCATGAGTAGAAACACTAAGATCAAGTAAACCAAAAGCAGTTATCTCGGAGTACAAGTGCATTTGGAAAAGATACAACACATTTACAACACATGTCCGGGCCGGCGGAGCAAATGTGTTGTATCTTTTCCAAATGTTGTACACCAAAAGATTGAAATGTAAGTGTAGATTTCTGGAAATTTGCTTTACATTGATTTGAAGTGAAATGGCTCATTGGATGAAGATTTTATGTATATGATTGATTAAATCTCAACCAAGTTGCTACAAAAGAGTTTGATTCAGAAATGTGAGATTTGCTAGAAATTGATTTAGAAAATTGAGGTTGCTTTAAAGAAATTCTCAACTGCATTGTTTTGTGAAAGGGGGTAAACAGGTTTAAAAGATTCTCATCCCACTGCTATCATTATATTGGTTCCTTGGTGGGAGCCCTAGGCTGGGAACATGATAGAGAATAGAATGGGTCATCAAATCATCTTGCACTGCACATCTGGGATGTGAAGCATATGCTGCATACATTTGAGCCAACACTTAGATATCAGATACATACAGGTTGCCTCATTTATCTGCTCATCTGCATAAGCAATGGTTTGAATTTTTCTGGGTGGATATTTGAAATACATATTAACACATGATTGAAATGTGAAATCTGGCAGTAATAATTTCAATTTTCCCATATATAGAAAGCCAAACAAAGCACCACTTGATCAAGATCATTACCTGTTCTAGGGGTCACTGGAAGCTTTTCACAACATTTCATAAGTCTCACTCACTGTCTACACCCCCTTTGGTGATTGGTCTATGATGTGTGCAAATACCACAATTGCCCTGCTTGTTTTTGTGATTGCAGAGTGGTTTGTGGCTCTGCAATAGCCCCACTATATATATTGAATCATGTGCACCACATCTTGGGGGTGGAAAGCCCCCATAGTGGAGTGAGCTCTCCACCAACGCCCAAACCAATCTGACACAATACGACTTTTTGGAGGTTTTCCATGTTGTATCGGCCAACCCATATATTCAGACCAATACCCAATATGATATGAGGACAAAAAAAATCCAAAAATCTGGTTGGCCATATCGTGTTGCTGAAGCAATACGAGCCGATACTGTAGTTAAAAATTGGTTGCAAGGCTTTTCAAGTAGGAAAAAGCCAAATCACCTCCATCCTGTATCGCGTCACCAATACCCAATATGAGAAAAGGGGACTTCTCATGTTGGGTCAGGTGAAGCAATATGGAGAAATCCAACTTTTGATGTTGGATTGGCAATACAATACCAATACGATACCGACTTTTGTGTCGGATTGGTTCCGGCGTTGTCTCCACAATGGCTAGAGTTTCCCTGCTATATAGCAGAGCAATACTCAATAGTAATACCCAGGGACATGTATCCTTTTATTTGTCTTATTATGCATGGTCACTGGTGTACTTGTTTGCTCTTTTCTATCTTATATATAGCCAAGAACTATCTTTTTACACTTTTTGAGAGCCCCTTGTGCCACTATATTGTGCACTAGCAATTTGTTGCACATGGACTGCTCCACAGCTCTCAGAGACAAACAAAGGGGAGCATTATGTTGCACTTTACAGCTCAGTCTTAGGTCCACAGTGCCAATGAGGTCAAATCTCATTGTGTTGTGTAGCAGTTGTGGTATTGTGTGTACAACCAACTGTGCAACACCAAAAAGTCACATTGATTTTTGCTCACATTCTTGATCCAAAAAAGTTGTATGTTAAACTAAAGTGTGTCAAAATATGCACACACATTTTTGCACATATGTGCAAAAATCATGTACAATCTTGAAAACAAATCAAAGTTGAATATTTTCAGATCAATGTGATTGCAAGTCCTGTTTCTTTCTCCTCTTGACCCCTCACTACATAGCTCTTTTTTTGGACTTTGTTCATCATCTTTTCTGGCTTTACCACAGACAAACTAATCACTCCTTGCCTCAAATCTGTGAGGATAGTGGCTCTTTTAAAGTAGGCTACACTCACTAAAAGGTGGTACAGGGAGTATATTATGATGGAGTATAATAAGGATCATTATATTTTGCTCTTTAAACTAGGTACAAAGGAGGAAGAGGATGATGAGAAACAGGGATTTGATACAGTGAGGATGTGTCAAAAGCAACAAAAGAAGGGCATGACTCAGACTAAAGCAGAGACAAAATGGAATAACATCAAAGTAATGAAACATGGTAAGTAAGTAGGAGCTTTTTTCTTCAGACTGGAGTAATGAGGATTTGATAGATGAGTTTTTGACAAGACTCTTCTCAAATTGATTGCTACTCACAGCATTTGGCAAGCATAACAAGCTTGAGTAAGGGGTTTCAAGTTAGAAGTTTCTACATATTTCTACACCACAACCACTTGCCTGTTGTTGTAGAATAAGTGTAATGTTTTTAAATCAGAACACCTTTTTAGGTGTCCCGAATTCAAGTTACGTAGGTTTTACGAAGATTTTTTTGAATTTGTTCAGTATTAAAAAATACGTCAAAAAAACTAACAAACTTGAAACCCCTCGTCATCTAACATCCCTCAAGCACAACACCGATGAAATCACATCAGGTTGTACCTGAAGATAGCGATGAAGATTTAAATATTTCATTACCTTCCACTCATTAAGCTTTGCTTGGACGGCTGATAGTATACTGGTGTATCTATCTAAACACAAACAACTCTCGATCCTCACAAAAACAAAACTCATTAAATAATAGACCCAAATTTCTTTGGATTGGTTTTTTCGTGGTATCCTCTTAGAGAAGACTTCTTGCTCGCTCAAAAGAAAAAAAATAACAAATAGGAAAAAATGATCTAGAGGAAGTTGAGGAAGTTTGGTTTCTTTTCGTTCATCTAGTCCAACATAAACATCTATGTCTTTTTTTGGGGGTTGTAGAGAGGTTTATTAAATTTCAACAAAAGGAAGTAGAAGAAAAAAGAAGTGTTTCATTGTTTTTTAACGAGCTGTTCCAGCCATTGCCTTTTGCATAGCTCGTTTCAGTCCTAATTGGCACTTCTTGAGTTCATCAGCAGTTGAGTCTGTGGGAAAAGTGAACAAGTCAAAGAATGATTAGGTCACACGTCAAAGTCACATGATTAGTACAAATGAGTGAAGACTTACCCTCAATCTCAAGCTTCTCAAGAGCCTTGGCAAGTTCAGCTTCAACAGCAGCCTTGTTGTTTCGCTTGATCTTCATACCGATTTCAGGTGATGTGATGGTACCTTCAACCTGTGAGATGTATGACTCCAATTCTTGCTTGGCCTCGTGTTTGGCAGAGAACTCCTTATCGGCTTGCTTGAAGGATTCGGCATCTTTGATCATCTGATCGATTTCTGATGATGAGAGACGACCAACGGAGTTGGTGATGGTGATGTTTGCTCGTCGACCTGAAGTTCGGTCGAGGGCGGAGACCTTCAAGAGACCGTTTGCATCAACCTCGAATGTACATACAAGTTCGGCTTGACCACGAGGTTGAGGAGTAATTCCAGAAAGCTGTTCGAGATAGGTCAGTAAACAATCGATAGTCGCTCGCAGAATAGAATGAATGAAGAACATACCTCGAATTCTCCGAGCAATCGGTTCTCCTTACATGTGACACGTTCACCTTCGTAAACAGGGAATGTAACAGTAGATTGGTTGTCCTCGACCGTGGTAAATGTTCGGGATTTGTTGGTGGGAATGGGGGTATTTCGGGGTACAACGCATCCAAAGACGTCACCTTGCATGGCAACACCGAGGGAAAGAGGTGCGACATCGAGAAGCAAGAGATCGGCGGTCTTCTCACTGGTCTGTCCGGTAAGGACAGCAGCTTGAACAGCAGCACCGTAAGCAACAGCCTCATCGGGGTTGATGCTCTTGTTGAGCTGACGACCACCGAAAAAGTCGGAAACCAAAGATTGGATTTTGGGGATTCGGGTCGATCCACCAACCAAGACGATCTCCTCAACCTTGGACTTGTCAACCTTGGCGTCCTTCAAAACCTTGTCAACGGGATCCAGAGTAGATCGGAATGTGGTGGCATTGATCTCCTCGAAACGAGCACGGGAGATGGATGCAGAGAAGTCGGCACCCTGGAATAAGGAGTCAACTTCGACAGTGGTCTGGGTGACTGAGGAAAGGGTTCGTTTGGCACGTTCACAGGCCGAACGGAGACGTCGGAGAGCACGTGCATCACCATCGATGTCGTGCTTGGTTTTCCGTTTGAATTCGGCTTTGAAGTGCTCTAAGAGAGCGTTGTCGAAATCTTCTCCACCAAGATGGGTGTCACCAGCGGTGGCTTTGACAGCAAAGACTCCACCGGTGATAGAGAGAAGAGAAACATCGAAAGTACCACCTCCCAAGTCGAAAATCAAGACGGTACGCTCCTTCTTGTCCTTCTTCTCACTGGCCTCACCTAAACCGTAGGCAATAGCAGCGGCAGTAGGTTCGTTAATGATACGAAGAACATCAAGACCAGCAATGGCACCGGCGTCTTTGGTGGATAATCGCTGAGAGTCATTGAAGTAAGCCGGGACGGTGATGACGGCCTTCTTGACCTCTTTGCCCAATTTGGTCTCAGCGGTTTCCTTGAGTTTGGTCAAGACCATTGCTGAGATTTCTTGAGGGGAGAAAGTTTTGGTCTCGCCGAGATATTCGACCTGTAGGGTGAAAGATGAGACTCGAGGTGCGATCAGGAGGATGAACTGAATGGGTACTGACTTCGATGAAGGGGTTGCCATCTTTCTCGATGACCTTGAAAGGCCAATGAGCCATATCCTTCTTGACATCTGAGTCATCGTATCGACGTCCGATCAGACGCTTGGCGTCAAAAACAGTCATCCTTGGGTTCATGGCAGCCTGAAAGAAGTGTTTTAAATGAAAGAAGTTAACATCATTCAACTGATCCGCGTATATGGAGCCGATACGCGTGACCGACCTGGTTCTTGGCAGCATCTCCGATCAGACGTTCATCCTTGGTGAAGGCAACGTAAGAAGGAGTGGTTCGGTTTCCCTCTGAATAAGGGTGAACATAGAAAAGGTAAGGTGTCAAATCAAATCGGAAGTGAGAGGTTTCGACTAGAATGGCTTACGGTCGTTGGCAATGATCTCCACTCGATCGTTTTGCCAAACACCCACACAGGAGTAAGTGGTTCCGAGATCGATACCAATAGCTCCAACAAAGTCACCTCCTTCGACATCGGCAGCAGGGATGTTGCCATCGTTGTTAGCTCCGTCGTTTGACCTGAATAGATGAGCAAGTATGAACCATTTAAAGGACAGATGAGCAAACAGCAAAGTAAACGAGGAGTCAAATGACCCAAGATTGGTCGTTCAACTGGGGTTGATACGAAGGATAAGATGTCAGAGAGATACCTCACATTTTATGAGAAGTTGTTTGTTTAGATTTGGAAGAACGGGGCAAAGAGGTAAGTCGAAGTTGGAAGCGAAGTGGATGAGGCTGAGGGGTGAGAAAGTCTGGTAATCAAAAACCAATTCACGGCACACGGGGGAAGGAAAAATTTACAAACTCAAAAACACTAAAAAATTCAAAAAAATGGCAAAAATCAAACCACACAGGGTAAAACACTAGTATGCTGCGGAAAGAAAGTCACTGCGGTGGGTGCAATCAAATCAAAATACAGAAACACCAATTCATCACTTTGGTCCAAAACTCAACGAACAAATTGTTTCCACCCAGATTTCCATCACACTGAGCTACCCCTTGGGAACTCGGAAGAAAGCCTCGAGTTCTTCAAATGACCTCCTTCCTCCTCGCGAAAAGGCATGTACTGTCGTTCTTGAAAAGCTTGTCCGAGTTTTCCCGCAAAACTCGAGCAATTTGGCGGCAAAACTTGGACAAGCTTTTCGAGAACGACAGTATGACATTGAAGCAGATCAAGTGACTAACTTGTCTGATAGATCAATAGAAGGTGTCGCACTGGGCATGGGTTTTGTTGTATGTCAACCACTTCAGTTGAGGAAAAGTAGTACTCAGTACAATATTTCCTGAATCCAACTCACCATGATCGGCTATATGTCAAGCAATGGAGGAGAGAAGTTGACTTCTTTTGCTACCTGAAGGTTTTGATAGTTTTGACTCCTTTGAGCGTAATTTGTCAAGTATGTTCGATACATCTCCTCACTTGCAAATATCTCAACACGAAAAAAGGAATTTGACATAAGTGCGCTGAAGGTGTTGTGATTTTTGACTCAACTTTATTCTTCTGTGTATAGAAGGATTGATGGGTATCTAAATAACATTTTTTTTCGCAATATATTGTCCAATTTCACTTCTTGATCAGTACGATAAACAAAAAAATCAATCAAATCAACGAATTCAAAGAATGTCATAATGAATACTTGAAAAAAACTTCACAAGAAAAACATTACAATAAAGATCTATTTAACAAACATTTTGACTTGTAATTTCATAACTCGATGCCTTTTAAACTATTAGTCTTACTAGTGGTTTAAATATCAAAAAATGATAATGTCCTATATTCTTAGCAAAAGTCTTTTGAGCAGTACAATAACAATAACAAAAATGATAAAAAAAACAATGAAAAAGAACGACAAAGAAAATTTTAAAACAATCACAATACAAAATTCATCGCGAGAAAAAATAGAACGAGAGAAAAAGTAACGATTTTTAAACGAAAAAAAAATGTTTTCTTGCAATGTAATCTTGATGCACAAACAAAACTCTTCCAATAAAATTTTTATATCCACCACTACTACCACCATCAACTTCAACCACATCACTATCTTTCTTTCAAGTTAGATTCTCACGATTCTTCTTTCCAGTATCATTAGGATTCAAACCCTTAGAACTTCGATCAGATGTTTTCTCTTTTTTATTTGAATTAGGATGGACAGAAGCTGAAATCCTAACCAAAAACTTAACAGAATGAATCAATTTTTTAAGTTTTCCTAATGAGACACTACATCCTTCACCAGGTCCGATCCAAAGTTTTCGATGATTGGTTTGATATCCTTCATTTATTTTCTTCTTCTTGGTAGTCGTCGTCGTCGTCGTATTAGTATTGGTTTGAGTCTCTTCTTTTACATTATTAGGTTTTATGAGTTCTTTTGGACGTTCTTCAACCATCGTATCACTTGTAGTTGGAACTGGAGGATGATCAGGAGCGATCTCCATCTCTACATCAGCTTTTGATTCTTGTATGGGTTCCTGTACTTTCTTTCGTAATCCTAATGTCAAATCTATCGAACCGAGACTCTTTTCAGTAGACCTAAGGTGTTTAGGAGCAGTACGGCGGATTCGATGCTCAGTACGTTCGAGTGCAAAGTCTAAATGCCGGTATCTACATTTTGCAAATTCGTATGTGAGCAAAAATTCTTCTGATTGTAACTATACCATCACTGACACGAATTTAACTGCTGTGGAAGGTCCATCCTCAGCTCTGATCCGTTCACCTACTTGTCCGGCCTTTTCTTTCAAAACTCTATCCTTAGTAGCCTTCACAAAAGCCTCGCTTAAGCAACTTGTGGTCAGATGGTCGACTCGCATACCTGCACCCAGTCGAGTCACTCGCTAAAAGAACCTTAATCAGTCCCTGCCATTCTTCTATCACAAGGAGTTCAATCGGATCGTGGTGTTGGGTTGGATGCTGGTTTTGAAGATACTCACATCAGCCCAAAACATTTGATCTACAGAAAATATTTTTAATCAGTGTCTAAAAACTTAAGCTTATAAGATATTAGCTTTACAAAAGATGAGAAAAGATACAAACCTCCAAAGAAAGGATGAATGAGCGTTGGAAGCCCAAATCGAAGAGATATCCCAGTCGTCCCAGCGCCACCATGATGACACGCAGCATCAATTTGAGGAAAGAGCCAATCATGCGGAATCGAGGAAAGCACATGGACTTCTGGTGGGACTTCAATAGGCACTGAGTCCGCTGAAGTAGTCTGTGTACGTTCACTCCAACCTTTTGCTACAATCGCTCTCACTCCTGCTTGTACCACTGCCGCATAAATTGCTTTGGTCACTGCCGCGGCGTCTGGAACGGTGATACTTCCAAAGCCTACATAAATCAAAGGCTGGCCGTCGGCTCGAGCAGACGCGATAAAGGCTGTCAAATCGGGTGGCGGTACATAGTTCCCTTGAGACTGGTCCAAAAACCAATAACCCGTCACTGGAGGATCAAGATGCCACATGCAAGTATTTAGTGCCATTTTTATTGCCGGAGTTTCGACTCATAACTATTTATATTGAGTCTAAGCTTACCATTGATGTGGTCACGCCAATCCAATGGCTTTGGTACAACTAAGAAACATGCCAATTTTTCAATCAAATCACATCAATAAAAAGGATACTCCAAGTTCATCATGGCAGTGCATGTTAAGTTTGATTACATACCTGCAGAGCTGAAATTATACAAGAACGGAACCTGTGATGATGATATTCAAAGGAATCATAGATTGAGGGTGGAAGGTAAATCCGTCAGTCTTTGATTTTGACAACGGCAAAGTAGGGAGTAAAGCCTTATCGAACCTTGTATGATTGCATTTTCTATAGATCAATCAAAATATTATATCAGAAACCTAGAAACTTGAAGCGAAAGATGAAGCAGTGGAGATGAGATGATAACCTACTTCCAATGTAGTAGGCGGAATGCCCAATGTATTCTTCCTCCACCTATTGACTTGCCCGGACATCGCTCGCCTGATCCAAAATACAATATCAGATTGAAAGTGTTCACGGATCTCACATCTTGATTACAGAGGAGCCACTCACCAAATCAAACTGTCAAAAAGCGAGTAAGATAATAAGTTATAAGTAGGTCCCAAATCGATACTAGATGCAAATGCCTGAGGATAAGTCGAAGTGCTAGTCCATGTCATGGTGAACCTACAACCCAAACACCACTTCGTCAACTTCACTGAAAAAAACCTCATGCCGAAGCATAGTGACATGATGTGGACATCCCTAGTAAATAACATCAAATGGACTCACGCTCTAAAATACGGAATTCGTAAAGCTTCAGCGATATGAATACCCGAAAAGGTTGAGGGACTCTCGATCAAGATTTCGGCTTTAGATTCCGTACAAGCATTCCAAGCTTCCATGAACAAGTCATCAAGCCATTGTCGAAACTTGCCTAACCCTTCTTTGAAGAAACCAGGACTGAAGAAGGCGTGATCAACTGAAAGTTTCTGCATTAACACAAAACAATTATATGGTATATAAGCCTAGTGATCACAAATGCCTTTGAGAATGTCCCAGCAGTTCATATTGGAGTGAAATTGACTCGAAAGTATCAGGACGAACCATTAAAGCACCGGGGTCGCCACCCAGATCCTTATAGAGGATCCCAAAGGATTCAACCCATGACCGGTATTCGGGATGCGATGCGATGGTGACAATGTGTCCATCTTGCATCAAACGTTTTGCTAGGCTCTACAATATCGTCACAAATTGCCACCGAATAATCAAGATCCGTGGAATACCCATAGGCATAAACAAATTGAGAGGACATGTGTGATCACCCTAACTTACTATGTACGGTTGAACATCGCCCCTCGAGCCAATTGTCATACACGTGATTCGGTAGGGTCGGGTGGTGGGTTCAGGTTGCACGAAACCAATGATGGCCGGTAAACTCTGCCTCTGACGCGCTGTTAGTGGGCTTGGCGGCAGACTTTCATCCGGCGGGCAAAGTAGATTATGAGTCGGAAGCGAGCTCTGACGGCGCGCTGCTCGAGCGCCGGCTTCACGGACACGATCAACTGCAAGATTAATGACCTTTACGGTCTCATCTCGCGACGCTTGAGATGAAAAATCAAGTCGAATGTCTGCAGCTCCAGCAATCTCAATACTGAGACCCGAACGAGTAAATCCGAAAGCCGAACACTCTTTTGCTTCTGCGATATCCTTGAGCGGGATTCTCAACTTCAAATCCTGGCCGATCACCACTGCTGGTCGCCAGAAGCCTGGGATAGAAGATATCACGAGCTTTTGAATATGGTGAGCAATGACCAGGTGATTGTGGATGTCTACTTACAAAAATAATCATTGCTGATAGACATATTCCCAAACGATGGCAAGGTTCGGACGAGCGAACATGGACAGACTAGTAAAACAAAAAAGCAAACGTCAGCATTCGCGACGACTATGATAAGAATCATCCTTGACCGGTGAAGGAGGCGAAACGAGGCACATTGTATGCGCAGGTGGGAAGGCGAGAAAGATAAACTTACTATATAGCTTTTGATGGGCTTCCAATCCAAAAGCTTTTACAAATCCTTTGGCCAAATCACTCATGTTCTTGTCAGTAGACTCATATGATGCCGACTCCGTTAACTTAGTAGGGTCATCGACGTTTTCAGATTCGAGATCACGAGGTTCCAAGACTTCCAAAACGGGTAACGGGGTTCGATGAGCCGTACTGGGTTGTGATTCGGTCTGCGATGATGAGATCTCCATCTTGGCACGTACAATCGCGTCGATGATGTTCTCGTCAAAGGGATCATGTGAGAGTAAATAAGCCATCTTGATTCGACTATGATCTTTTTCGTCAATCGGCTCTTCGACTACGCCACGACTAAGCGCTTCGCTACTGTCAGTGTAAAACGGAGAAAGTACTCCAAAATCTAGTTCAAAGGTCATCATCTTGGCGATATTCTCAAAAACCTCTCGATGAAGTTTGCGTATCCTTCTTAACGGGAGTGAGAGCTTAATCTGATTCGAAAAATGAGTTTTCAGACTAAAGAGAGCTTGCACAAAGTCATGATGCCAAAGTGCCGTGGATTCCGCTGTATCAAACTCAAGATGGATTACATGATCATCCATAAGCCGGAAAGAAAGTGTCCGGGGTTCTTCTGGAGAGATTGGAAGAATCCGTTTGATGTCAGAGAGGTGGAGAGATGAGAGTGGGCGAAAGAGCTTGGTACTCGATCGATAATCGGTGATTGAGCTGGAACAAAGAATAAATTCATGCTAAGGACTTTACAACTCAATGAGAACCTTGGCTGTACTCACTCTGTCCTTAATTCTACCCAGCGTCTTTGCCGCTTGGAGAAGCGTGCACCAGACTTGTACGTAGCAGTACCGCTCTGAAGTGAAGAAGATGTAAGTATTGATTATCTAAAGGTAAAATGATAATCAGAAAGTAAGATACTCACTCGAATGAGTTTCCCTTTATCTGTGATTGGAAGGTAGGCAATGTAACAAAGTCGTCGATCTGTCAGGAGAATCACGCCTTTTACGATTACACTTCGGTAAAGAACTCCCGCCACCTGACCGATCCAGCTTTCAGACTCTGGTTGACCAGAGGCATCAAGTCCAGACCATGTACCAAACTGTTCTTCAAGGAGGCGAAGACGGTCATCAGGAGTAAGTTCCGATTCACGATCGGGACTCGAAGGGCGATCGGCTTCGGGTAAGATATCATTGAGGATTGAGGTAGGTTCTTCCAATAATTTAAGAGTTCGGGTAGAAGGGGAAGAGTTCTCAATGAGGGGTGTATGAGTTTTTTGGATAGCAATCTCGGCACAATGAGTTTGTCGTTCGATGAGTTGTCGAGCTAGGCCATCAAGATGATGCCTCGAAGGATAATCGAGTGTGGATGCGCCACGGATCAAGGAGGAGGAAGGGTGAACTGGTCGGGTGGGCGTAAAAAGGAGACCTTCTTCAGTGTTATCATCGTCATCACTTTCCTCATCGGATAACATAGCCCGGGGCTGTTGAGTTGTATTTGGTGACCACAATTCTGAATCGTCTGCCAAGCCATCATCAAGATCTTCGTAAGGGTTAAGGGCAGCCTGTTGAAGAAAGATTAGTAATTGTGGGTAAAGAGGTTTTGATGAAATAATTCATGCTGACCGCTTTGAGAATTCCAACCATAGAAGCCGTACTACCCAAACCATTAAGACCATAAGGTAAGATGGGATCATGAAGACCGGCTGCGCTGGCAATAGAATTCGGAGGTTCTACTGAGGATACTGCAGATGAAGGCGGAGATTGAGGTTGAGATGAAGTCATGATTGACAAAATAACGGTTTTGAAGTAGTTTGGTAATCAGGATCAATCAGAATCAGAATCAGAATAGAGTTTTGATTTTGTTGAGATTGAGTTTGACTGCAAATGGAAATTAGAACAGTTGTTGAACTGATGCAATCCCAATGAGTAAAATCAAATCAATTATAGCTGAGCCGAGGGATAGAGGAGACAAATCGATGGATTATTAAAAAGCAAGGGAATACTTGTTAGAACAAGTAGCAGTCTGGATTAAGAATAAGGCACCAAATCCACTTTACCATCAAGCGTGGTGGTCGGCACTCCAAACTTGAACTCAACTTTTAGGCAAATTGCTTCGCCTCGATTCTCCCACTGTGTGAATGCGAGATGTCACTGGGATCACATTACAATATATGTCTCACTCCGTCCGTCCGGCCTAGAGGGAAAACATCATCTGGCAACTCCAACCGAGTGCATCGTTCATACACATGTACACAGGAGATGACCTTGACGCCGTGCCACAAGCTGAATTCAAGTTTCTTAGACTTGGCGGATGATCGGATTGTAATTTGTACCATTCCTGGGGCGGGGCCGGAAAGTTCAGATCACTTGACGTCAACTACATATTTGAAGGCTTTCGGGGTAAAGGTCGTCTAAATTAAGGCTTGGACCCGGCCCGGCCCGGCCATCAGAAACTACGCCGATCAGGCCCCTTGTTTTTCAGCTGCCCGGCCCGGCACGGCCCGGCCAAAAAAAAAATTCTCGTAATGTGGCTCAGCAACGTGGAAATTGATGAAACCAGGTGCCTTATATCACTCACCATGGCTCCTAAACACCCCCATTCCTCCAATGATAGTGTGATCACAATCTCAGACTCTCCTTTACAAGTCAAGCCCGCTGCAAAAAGCAAGAAAATCAAACTCGACAACTCACACAAGCTCTCATGGGTCTGGCAGCATTTCATAACTGAGTACGATAAAGGGTCAAAGGAGAAGCAGAACATCTGTCAAGTCCCTCATCCATCTGGAGGAGGTAAAGTCTGTGGAGCGGTGTTTGCCGTTGATAAATCTTCCAGCACAAGATCATTGTCCCGACATCTGGAACGCCGACACGAGATATACGAAAACACTGTTGCCGAAGCTGGGATGATGAGGGACTATGTGACCAATGGGAAGATCGAGAAGGTACATTGATAATTCACAAGCTTCATATGTCCTTTTTGTGTCCTCTTTCTGACTATTGTATTTTGATCCTAGCCTCTCAAGCTCACCCGCGAGAACTTAAAGAACAAACTCCTTCGCCTCATCATCATGAAGGAGCTTCCGTTTTCTTTTGTCAATTCTCCCGACCTGCGAAAACTTCTTGAGCTGTGTAACCCTGCTGTTACACCACTCCTTGTTGGCTCGGACACTCTTGGAGATGCCGTCAGAAAGAACTTTCACGAAATGAAAGGAGTGATGGAGGAATACTTTGAAAATCAAACATTGGTCAGCATCACCTGTGACTGCTGGACATCTCCGAATCGAAAATCAGTCTTGGGTGCCACAGTCCACTGGATCAATGAGAAATTTGAACTTCAAGAAGTCATATTGTGTCTCAAAGAGATCGAAGGCGAGCATACTGGTGTCAACATTGCCAATCATCTTATTCCTGTTCTTAGAGAGTATGGACTCCTTGAAAAGGTTTTCTGTGTTGTTGCTGACAACGCCAGTTCAAATGGTACAATGGCCGATGCTCTTCAAGCAGTCTGTCCAAACTTCAAGCAAGATCAAAATCTCCTCGGATGTGCTGCACATGTCATCAACCTTGTTGCTCGAGATGGACTCAAGGCATTCTCTAGAAGACTTGGCGAAGATGGACCAGTCCCACACGACCTTGCTGTTCTTCTTGAACCGATGCAAACCTCTGACGTCAACTCGGTCCTTACTCGGCTCCATAAGCTCATTGCTTGGATTTACAAATCACCTCAGCGCTTACAGTCTTTCCTCAAGCAAGTTGAGGCAGACTTAGGCTATGCGCTCAACCTTGTCCGCAACGTCGACACACGATGGAACTCCGACCTCGATTGTTATCGCCGAGCATACCGGTTACGGGTTTCTATCAATACAAAATGTCAAAATGATCCCGACTATAGGCAGTACGCCTTGTCAGAGGATGAATGGAAGCTTATAGGACACCTTGTCGAATTTCTTGAACCTTTTGAGATTGCCACCAAAGATCTTTCAGCAAGCAAATACCCAAGCCTTGGCGATGTAATTCCAGTATACGAGTGGATTATCAAGAAGCTGAATTTGGTATGTTTTGTTCTTGATTGTATTTCTCGATCAACTTTATTTCAACTCTCACTTTTCTTACTGAATACGCCGTACTTTTCTAGAGCTGGTGTAACTACGAGGCTCAAGAGCTCCGACAAGCGATTCAACCAATGAAGACCAAGACCGAACTGTACTACGAGAAGGTCCTCAAAAAGCCAGCGTACTTGTGTGCGCTTCTGCTTGACCCACGTAGCAAGGATCAAGAATTGACCAATGAAACTCTGGCCCTTGCCGGCATCGATCATCGTGACGAGTGGAAAACACACTTTCTGAACGAGTGTAGTAAATTTCATCAAGATGGCCAATTGATCACCCTCGAAGACCCTGTACCACCACCCGAAGATCGCCCCCGAACCTTTGTAACCAAAAAGAAAGCTCAAGGAATTGAGGCTGAGCTACAAACATACCTCTCGACCGAACGAGAGAACGAGGATTATCACCCACTCAAGTTCTGGCGCGAAGAGGGGCATCGATTCCCCATTCTATCCAAGATGGCGCAGATTTTCTTAGCTATCCCAGCGACCAGCACCCCATCCGAGCGATCGTTCTCATCTGCGGGTAGGACCATCACCGATCTTCGCAGCTCAATGAAAATCTCGACTCTCGAAGCAACGGTATGCCTCAAAAGCTTTGATAAATTCATCAAGTAGATTCACTTTGTATTCATACAGTACTTAAAGTTATATCTAAGATGTGCTCCAACCTCCTCACCTCACCTCATCGAGTCCATCCCCCTTTCCGAGCATCTGAGCTCCCTGTTTAGTGCCACCAATATACATACAGTAGTCAAATTCAGCTTATAGATGTGCCCCAACCTCTTCTCCTCTCCTCAACGAGTCCATTTGCCCTCATTTGACCCCTTTCCGAGCCTCTGAGCTCCCTTTTTAGTGCCACCAATCCCTCGGGCCCTTTCGGGCCGGCCCGTCCGGCTCGCCCGAGAGCACAGCGCTCACGGGCCACATACCTTTTTAAAAGAGTCGTTTAAGGCCCGTGCCCGGCTCGGCCCGAGCCCGCCCGGGTGGTCCTGGTGCCGGGTCCAAGCCTTAGTCTAAATCCGACCTGTTGTGAAGTTGGATGAGAGCAAGAAAACTGATTGATATCCATGCACATGGAGAAATTGCAAAAAGCAGTGAGAGCAACCCCAGTAATGATGGTGATTTATTTCAAGTACAGACTATGGAACACTTCCAAATCAGTATGAACTTGAATCACCTATCGCTTGAGACTTCGAAGCACCAGGTGCCACCCCCACAGTCCACTGAGCTACATAACAAAGTCCTTCTCACGCGGCCGAGCAGAAGGCTCAAGCCTCGGGCCTTTGCCGACGGACTTGACAAGTGTGGGCAGAACAACTTTGGCAAGTCAAATCCCCCAATTACGAGTGCAATCACTGATGCTGATATTGCAAAGCACGATATATTTGCTCTGAGTGGGCTGCACTCCATAGTGCAGGACCCCTTTGTTCCTTTAAAACCTTTCAAAAATCTTGATCATCAATTTCTTCTCAAGACCAACCTCAACATCACTATTTTCGTTTTCTGAATCACACTTTCTCATCTTATCTTTTACAATCTTTCCTTCAGAAGAGAAAAATTTATATATGTAATACAATTTCAAAACCCATCCTACTTGAACATCATAATTTTCATTCTTTTCTACTTTTTTTGTGTGTGCGTGTATAGTTAATCATTTTTTGTTCTACTCTGCTTGCACTATATCAACCAATTTGCCAAGGAACGTATTCAAAAAAATAGAAGTAAAAAAAACAGTACTAAAAGAATCATCTCATATCAAGCCATCACTTCTGCTATGGATTTCTCTTTTTGAATCGACTTTGATTCTTGATCACTAGGTGCTTGAGTACCTTCAAATGATCCTAAACCTCTGATACCCCAACGTTCAAACATACTCAAATCTTCATCCCATCCTGATGTAGGAGTCGTTAACATCCTTTCACCCGTAAAGATTGCATTACTACATTAAGAAAGAAAGCCTTTAGGGTCATGACAATCTCGGATCCAAAAAAACGTGTGTTGAGTTAAACAAGAAACTTACGCTCCAGCCATATAACACATGGCTTGTTCTGCCTCAGTGAACGTATTCCGGCCAGCCGCAAATCGAACAATGGACCTGGAAAAATATATCATTAAGCTTTCATTGTGATTCAAAAGATCAAAAGCATTCACCGACTCACGTGGGCAAAACGATACGAGCGGTAGCAATGATACGAAGAATGTCATGAAAGCTAACACGTTCCCTTTCACCAAGAGGAGTACCAGGAATAGGTACAAGAGCATTGACCGGAAAACTTTCAGGTGGTGAAGGCAGTTGACTCATCTCATAAACTAATCCTACTCTATCTTCAGGTGTTTCACCTAATCCAATGATCCCACCGGAACAAACTGAAAGACCAGCAGCACGTACATTCTCCAAGGTTGCAAGTCTTTCATCATAAGATCTAGTAGTGATCACTTCGGGATAAAACTCTCGAGAAGTGTCTAGGTTATGATTGTAAGCTGTGAGTCCGGCTTGTTTAAGTTGTTCAGCTTGTTCGGGTGATAACATTCCAAGTGTCGTGCAAACCTCCATATCCATAGCACTGTGAATGAATGAACATTTTATCAATATGTCATCAATTCCAGGCGATCAACTGAATTGCTTACCGCACTTCCTTGACCATCTCTAGAATACGTTTAAAGCCATTTTTACGCCCATGAAGATCACGCCATGCGGCTCCCATACAAAATCGGGTGGATCCATTTGCTTTGGCTTTACGTGCTTCACTATAGAAGCCAACCGTGACTGTGAGTATTTATTTTGAAAAGTGATGTAAATAGGGGCTCAAAGAGATCATAACGCACGCAAGAACTGGCTCAATGTCAATCAATTTGGAGGCTTCAAGTCCAGTGGAGTATCGTGAAGATTGAGCACAGTAAGAGCAATCTTCTGTACACCCACCTGTCCTGAAAGTGCAGGAAAAAGAATAATATCCAAAAGATCCATAAATTTTTGCATAAGTAGGTAATTTACAATCTAGACATTAAGATACTAAGAAGGTGATAACAGACTTGATATTAAGTAAGGTGCATAATTGAACTTTTGATGGATCGTGATGTGCTCGATGAACGGTAGCCTAAGAGATCCATATCGTGTGATGGTTTTTTTCAATGAGACAAAGCTCAATATCGGTTCACGTGCTCTTGATTTCGATTGAAGACAAGGTGCAGAGAGAGACAAGCACTAACGGCACGGAAGACGAGTTCCATGAGAGGTGTGTCATACACCTCTTGAATTTCTTGCCGTGACCATTTTCGAGAAGGAGCAGATCCAAGGGTATCGAGTTTATCTAATGACGTCCTTTGTGAAGTGACCTCTTCAGGTATAGCGGTTGCATGATTTCGAGTGGATTGAAAGCCAATGAAGGAGGCACCACGTGTACTACGAGCGCTTAGCCGAAGCCCGCATGGAAGACTTTTGGGGGTCAGACGTAAGGCTTTCAAGGGTATATTTCGAGAGGCCATCTTGCAGGTGTTGAGGATGGGTATGGAGTTGACTTTGAAGCGAGGGTAAATGTTGTAAAACGCAGTCAAGAGAATCGTCAAGAGAAGAGATTGGGGCAAATCAACCGATCGGACAACACATGTAACTGACACACTCAAATACTTTCACTTTGGGTATGGCCTGTCAAGAACCATAGTGGACACAAAAACGCTTCAAGTCACATAGATCCACAACTTTAACTTTGTTCAGTACGTGATTCAGATTGCCAGGTCTTTGCTTCTGTTTGCTTCGCCTTGGCTCTTCTTTGCTTGGCGATGTTGTCACTCCAAACAGACACAGCCTTGGCGGTTCTAGTGGCAATACTCAATCATTCAAGTCGTATGTATGTACAACTAGAAAATTCTTGCGTGATGAGACTCGAAAGACGAGATAGATGTAAGCACAACGCTGACTCACAAGGACCACAAGGACTCACAAGGATTTGGAATGTCGCTTGCATGGTGGTAGGTATGAAGCATTGATCCCTTTGAAGCGTGGAGAGCTTATATGTACCATCAAACGCAATGCAAAAGTAAAGAAACGTGTTCAATCACTGATTGGGGTTCAGCTCGTGATAAGATCTCATAGCACGGAGATGTAACAAGTCCCAAGGGGTTAACTTCGCTGAAAGTCATGAACTGCTATGGACAATATGATGAGACTGTTTTGGCGTCACTGCTGCCTTGGATCCAACGAGCCATATTTCAATTTGGATGGCGAACGGAATTATTGGGATCAACTTGATTTGCAAGACCAGAGCAACATGGATCACATCCATGACCACCAACTCGGTATACATACATATTTTCATCTATGGGTGATCAGGCGTGATCAGGCTGTGATCAGGCGTGTTCATCCTGGTCGATCCTTTTGGTAGGTGATTCCAATCTCTTTTAAATAAATCTGAGTACATATATTTAATAAAATGATATGTATGAGCTCATCACATTCCTCGACGCGTTCTAATGTATTGACTTATAGTGAAGTGCGATTGAAGAAAGATCCGCAGACTAAGCATAAATCGAGTTGGAGCTTCGAGGTTATAGCTGTTATAGCGTGATGATCATTGATCAGTGACTAGCTATCTGAGCTATCATTATCAGCAGGTGTATGAGCTGGAAGCGTGAATCGACATGAGCAAAGCGGTGAAATTGTGCCAACTGGAAAGGTATAAAGAGGCTCAATCATCGCCCCTTTTCATTCAGCATCCTCAACCACTTCAACTTCACAACAACACTTGCATTTCAACTTTGCATTGCTTCTGGTTTAAGCTTTATTCGATTTCATTCAATCAAATCATATTTCATCATGCTTTTCTTCAAAACCATCATCTTTGCCACTCTCGTCGGTAAGCGAACTCACCAAACACTATCATCTTTGGTCTTTGCCTGATATGTATCTGACTTTTATATTCTGATTGGCTAATTTAGCCGCGATTTCTGCTGATTGTAGTAGTCAACAGTGAGCTTCATATTTGATCAGTGGTCTAGATTTTGTAGTCACTGATATAAGTCCATCACAATAACAGAGCAACTGATCCAACAAAGACAGTAGGAAGTCGTCGTCGATCTGTGGTCGGATATCCACGCAACATCAAGCGGGAGTAAGTGCTTATCTGTACTTTTGACTAAAAGTCTTTCCAGGTGAAATTAAAGAACCAAGATGCCTTACTGACACGTAACCGTGCATCCCTCCCTCGTCAGGAACTCTGCTGAGCGCACTCAACATACTGAAAACAACAAGCTTCGTCGAGATGAAGGTGAGAACATGCGTCAACAAAATCAGAATCAGATGACAAACCAACTATAATCAAGTGACGAGTGACGAGTGAGTGTCTATGATTCAATCTAACGCCATCCTCCGGTTGATTAAGAGTCTTTACTGACTTATCAACCTAATATCTTCAGTACCATTATCTAACACTCAGGTTAACGATGCACAAACAAAATATCAATGAGTTCATCTCTGCACATTGAATCTTGATATCATGCGGCTGGTTTTCTGCTTTGATTCATTATATCTTGTTCTTTGTAAATGTTTTTCTTGGTGTGATATATGAATCCCTCGTGCAGCTGGTTCTTTACTTGACTTTTCAATGTCCATTCTTTGGCAATACATAGTGTTTTATGAGGAGTTTAGTTTCAAGTGGTCGATGATGGACCAGTCTGATCTTTGATCATCATTGTGAGAAGCTAGCGTTGGACATCTTTCTCTGAGTAACAATAACCTTGCCGTGAATGATATTCCTCCACCACTACCATCTTAAAAGCACCAGTTCAAATATTTAGATGAGATACGAATTTGAAGAACATTGCTATCTCGAAGCCTGGTGCTGGGTCCAATAATCTCGAAGAAGCCAAATGAGGATAACCCTCACAGCACACTCCATGTGCAGTGTATCACAACTTCAAGCTTTGTGCAAATATTGAGCCCGTGACTGAGGAATATCCAAGATGCGTTGGAATGTTCCTTTGATTGAGGTAGCTTTGTTTATAAATATAATAGTATTAAATAAAGGAACTGAGAATATTAATGGAGAACAGTAGAAATAAGAACATACATTGTGATAAGGGTTTTGATGGATCTGTCTGAGATGTAATCAACTTTTTTGCATATACCACTATCTAAAAAGTCAAGATTATAGAAAACAGTACACTAAGAATATGTGGCAATCTAGTGTGAACAAGAACACATTGGTATCTTTTGGGTGTAGACAAAAGGAGCATAGGGTTTTTTGTGGTGAGCAATCTTGCTGGGTATTTTTGTTTCAGATAGAGATGATGTGGAATCTATTTTCCATGATGCAGTTGAGACTTTGTAAAAAGTGCAGAATTTACTGTCAGTGATGAAGAAGGAAAAAGAAAAAACAACCCCAGAAGATCAACACTTCCATGATTGTACTATGAAGACACAAGATTGGATTGAAGAACAAACAGTTCTCAAAGGCGGACGTGGCTGTGCAAGAGGGACTCTATTTGACACTGGTGGCCAAAGGAAAACAATGTCTGTGAGTTCCATCTGTGCCAGAGAAGGAGTGGATGAGAGCTGAGGTTGGGCCAGAACCCAAGCCTCTGGGAGAGAGAACAGAAGACTGAAGATTTTCATGTTCACCGTTTCTGTGCGCCTCATTGCACTCATACACCTCAAAGATTGAATCTGTAAATCTTTTTAAGCTGAACACTTCCAAAAGATATAATCTTATTTCATTTTTAGAAAAAAAACATATTAAAATGGCATCACCTTCAAACATGACTCAATCAACTCAAGGAAGAACTGACACCTTCAACAAAGACATAAACCAAATTCTATCCAGTCATGAAAAAGAAAAAGTCAACAACAAAAAGTTAGTACAAGCAAAGGAAGAGGTGATGCCACTAGAGGAAGAGGTGAAGGCAGAGAAGAGGTGCCAGCAAAGTTAAATCAGCAAGAGTGACAAGAGCCACAACAAAAGGTCAGGTCAGTCAAGCTATAAACAAACAAACTGATGAAGAGGATTAGGATGAAGGTGCTTACAAAGATAAAGACAAGGAATGCTTAACAGAAGATGAGGATTAATATGATAAAGATGGATAAGCGGATAATAAGACAGTACAAAGAGGTGGAGATGTTAGTGAAGAAGAGGAAGAGGGAAAAGACCATATATTTTTGGGTATGTTTTTCACTCACCAAAAATACATTGTCACACACTAGTTGTTCCACTCCTAGTATCCATTCATCCCTAGAATCCCATCACAACATGTCACAGGCCATATCCTGGTAAGACACTATGTTCCATGAGACAAGTCAAAGACATAATCCTATAATAATGTCCAAAAATTATGTCCTAATAAAGAAGCTAGACCCATAGCCCAAGGCTAAGATTGATAACCAATGACCTTTCCTAAATCATGTAGAGAAGAAAAAAACCTGCAAATTCCAAAGATAGTGACATTCCTGCAAACTTTGATAAAAAGTCCTCAATGTGTGAAGTTGGAAATGGTGTGAAGACAAAGTCTGAATCCAAAATCCTGAAACACTAGAATAACACTTAAAAAATTGTATAAAAATCCAGACTTCTTGATGAAGTTGAATGTTTTTGTGGAATTCAGAAGAATACAAAATGTCCTCAATCAATGTTGCACAAAGAGTGAAGTAGAGAATGTGTTGCTGATAACAATTTTGGTGCATTGGATATTGTATGGTAATAGGCAATGAAGCAGAATTTGTAATGGAGAACACTCACATTTCTAGAGAACACAAAAGATATGTTGCTGAGTTATCGAAGAACTTTAAAAAGGGAAGTATTGGAATACTCCAATTGCTCAATGGTGCATACCAACAATGGTGTGAACAAGTTGGTTTAAAGCCACAGCCTTTGCAAATGGTAGAGTGTTTTAGCAATGAAGAAAACAAAGAAGTAGAGTCTGGAGCTGTGAGAAGTAAAGGACCAAAAAGTACTTCCAACAAGCTGGCTAAATCAGGCAAGACAACAAATCCTGGAAAAATCAGTCATAGATTAGCTGACTTGTCACTCTACTGGGATAGTAAAATGGTAGATTGCTCTGGTTATGTACCTTTGACAATCTTTGTACTGGCCTGGCTACTTGCAGACAAGACTCATATGGTCAACCTAAAAAGATTTAAACTTTGCTATTGTGCCATCCAAATTGTACTTCTTCTGAAAAATTGAGAAACCTCATAAGATGTTCAGAGGCCTTAGCAAATGGAACCAAATTTTCATTGAATGGTTGACCTTGTCTCTTCTGCTAGTAAAATATTGGAGAGCCAAATATGGAAGAAAAGACATCACAGTCAGGTTAGAAGAACGTTACGCCATGCTAGAAATGAAAGCCAAAATAGATGAAGTGTGGGCATCAGCCCTTGGGTACAACATAACTCACTGGACCAACATATGGAGCCAGATTTTGCCAGACAGGGCCTTGTCAGATGTAGGAGAGAATAATGTAAAATCAATGGAACAGGCTATAGCGGACTCTAAAGCAACAGGTGACCACAGTTACATTGATGATCCTTACTTAATTGGAGGTGCCTTGGAGAACATGTGCCCATGGACAGGCAAGTATCAAGTTGGCTGGGACATAGAAGGTTCAAATGGTATGGAACAAGTAACTGTTATACCAGCAGGAAGGCTTTTATTGCGCTTGGCTCCAACCGGCAGAGCTTAGACAGATGTCCCATTTGCAAACACCTACAATCATAATGGACAACAGCAGTCCTACTACAAGAATAAAAATGGCAATAATCAGTATGAGAAAAAAGATCAAGGAGGAAGTAGTGGAAAGGTAAGAAGACATAGAATTAGAGGAACTGGTAGAGGAAACAGTGGAAAAGAAGGTGGCTCAAGAAGTAGAGGAGTCAGGAAACCTAGTGCAAGAACCATTGTGCATGATGTGGTGGTCCCTAGGTTTGGAACAGGAGTGTTATAAGTGTTGAATTCAGTGCAGGCCAGTGGTAGTGGAACTGTCAACCATTTGTGAGTATAACTTACCTTTGTACTCTGTCTCTTCCTTATTATCCTATATGAGTGTGTAGTAATCCATCCCTGAAGGAGAATGGCCTGCATGAGGAAATACACCAAACCAAAAGATATGAAAAGTGAGACAAGATAAAATAAGTGAGACCTCCTATGTGCCATACCTTCTGTAGTACTGTCAGTTTGCCAGACCAAAACACCAACATGAGAAGTCAACCAAAGAACACTGAAGTGAAAGGGCAAACTACACCCCCAAAAACACCCCCAACCCTCCATGCAGAGCACCAAGGTGATATACAACAAAGCAGACCTCAGGCCAACATGACAAGAGAACAAGAACCTCCAGAGCCAGCAAGGAAGTTCAGTCAATTCCTGATTGAAACACACTATGAGATGAATGTGGAGTAATGGATTAATTTAGCCAAGAGCTCTGGTCTGGAAGGCTGCAGACATCAAACAAGGCTTCATTGATGGGAGCACTCAAGGTATCCCTGAACAATACTGGGAAAAGAGGCAATGGGAATCCCCCAAAAACCATGCATCAGCACTCACCACCAAAAGTGATATAATGAATCACTTGTACAAAGAAAAAAGAGAGGGAATATTTACAGACCCTCACCAATGAATAGGTATATGCTGAATGTGGTTTCTTCAGGTGTAATCCAATGAGGTGTGTCATGAACAACAATGGACTATTACAGATGATCAACAACCTGACCTTCCCAGTCTGAGTTGAAGATACATCATCCATGAACTCAATGGTAGACATACAGGAGTTTGATACATTTGGAGTGATTTTCATGCTGTTGCAAGATACTTTAGAGAAAGCCTTGGGAAGGCATTAGAACTTGCCATATATTACTGGGAAATAGTGTACAGACAAGCAGCAGTGACAAAATAAGAATGCAGATATCTTGCCATCAAGTACTTTAATAAGATGATATGGATAGACACCGGCCAAGCTCTGTTTGAAGGAGTGGCCAGATGTGGTAAATTTGGCGAAGTGGCCGGCATATGGGGACTGTTGATACCAAAACACCTAAAGATTGACCATATTTTCAGGTGGTAGATGATAATGTGATATCCCTTAAAATCTCATAACATCTTATTATTACATAAAAGCGTGTTGCTTTGCCTTGACTAGGTATAGGCTTGGTGAGGCAAAGCTGTATAGTGGGAGTTGGGTCTTGTACAAGGTAATTTGTCTTCCTTACTAAAAGCAACGGTGCCACTGTTACTTTACTGGTATCGGTATCGTAGCAGTATCGTAACTGGTGTTGAGTATTATATTGATGTTACTCAGTATCGGGTTTCCGATATGTTACTTGGGCTAGGTCCTCATAGGTATCGAAGTTTTGATACCAGTATTGGGTATCGTAACTGAGAAGCGATACAATACCCTGTATCAGCCGATACTGGTATTGGGTATCGATGGTATCTGACCAAAACCCAAGCCCGAGTGGAACTGGCTCCGAATCGGAGGCAGCAGGGGATCATGAGCTGCGCTATAGTTTCAATTATTGTATAATAGTCATTATCGCACCTATTCAATCCACCCTTTTCTATCGCTCAGACATGGCTTGGCACATCAACGTCACCAAATGGGCCAACATGTGGTCAGACCCACCTGAAAACGAAGGAGGAAATTCGATAGAGGTTAGAATCTTTTATCATTTGGTAGATTTTGAAAAGAATACTGACCCAAACGATTTGTTACTAACTTTTAAATATTATTCTTTTATCTTGTTTTATTTCTCATTTGATCAACTTCCTCCAAGATGCCTACGTCTCGTAAAAACCGTGATGATGCAAGCTCGCAACCACCATCTCCTACTCCCCGTCGCACAACGCGTGTTACACCTCTTCGTCAAAGGTCTTCCTCCATGATTCAACCTCCTGCCGACTCGAGATTATCAATTCAATCAGAAAGCGAATATGAATCCGACTTACAAAAAAACCTAGTCAACAAAAAAAACAAGCATAAAAAACGAATTGAAATCGAATCAGCCGTCGAATCGGAGTCAGATGCCTCTCAAGCTCAAAAAAACAATAAAAAAAAAAGCAAGCGTCAACGGATTGAATCTGAATTAGTGGATGAATCAGAAGGCTCAGTCATTCTAAGTCGAAGCAATAAGCAAAAGCGAAGTAAGACAGCGGTGGCGAAGAAACCTCACAAGAAAAATCAGGTATGTTACATTTCATGCTTCACTTATGTGGCACCCGATTCCTATACACAGCTGACCTCAAGTTCATACTATTGTCTGTGTAGAGGTCTTTGGCCTCACCCGC